TTTAGGATAAAAGCATCACAGAGAAAATATCTAAAAAAGTTCCTACATACTCACTAATATACCAGAAAACTGCCCCTTTTCTGTACCAGGAATCTGAGAGACCAACATCCTTTATGCCCCTTCTGCAAAGGCAGAGTTCCCTTAGGATTTAAAGTCCTGTCCATTTGCTGATCATCAAAAGAAGGATCTTGAATCTATTTATACTAAGCCTTTATATATCCCAAGTTCTTTCTTTGTTTCTTGGTCTCTGTAGTTGAGGTTTGGTCTCTGGGTCAAGCTCCAGTAACTCATTGGAACTCAAGTTTACAACTTGTCTTAACCAAACCTCATTGTTTTTAGTTCTTCGTGGAGCTGTGGTGGGTTCCCACCCCCACTTCCGTAGAGTAGAGGACATTCATACACAAACCATTTCTACATTTAATACAGTGCTCTCTAGAAGATACTATATGGGGTTGCAATATCTGCCACATATAAACAGAGTAGCAGGGAGGCTCTTTTGTTCAGAGAGACAGCTAAAAGAGTATCTCATCCCCCTTCTCTGTAATACCCTGGGTCTAAGACAGCTACGACAATACTGTAAACATAAACATGCAAACAGCTTTACATTTTGAAGAGGGGTTTTGTGTGCAGTTTATTTTTTGAGATTGCTAATAAAATCATTTACCTTGGGTCAGAGTTAAGGTTGTAATTTTACAATGAAATATTTATATTTGATAAGAATGTGTTTCTTTATGGGTGCTGTAAAACACTATCTCCTTAAGTACGTTCTTCAGCCTTCATTTTCTTACTTTTAAATGCTTTAGTTTTATAAATAATTTAATAGGTTATATTTACTGAGCAGCTTTAGTTGTTTTAAAAGAAATATTTTTGGAAATGACAGTGGACCCAGGAGAGACCCCCAGAGACAGTAAAAGAATTAAAAGTGAGAGAGACAAACTATTTAAGATAGAATCAACATGAGCAAAACCAAGCGTATTTCTTGTCAGACCAATTTAATATTTTAGTCAGTTCAGCATGATCAAGACCATCAACAGCAGCAGAAATGTCCAGCAATGCAAAAGCTTGTAATTCCCTAAAGATGTTCAGTCATCCATATTGGAAGGTAAATCATTCACAGTCTTAAGCATCACTGTCTCTATTGCAGTTTGTTCCAAAGCCTGACAGTTAACACTAACAGATTGTTTGTGATAAGGCGATGATATACTGGTAGTTACTTGACAACAATCCTCTCAAGCACTTTCACAAGAAAGGGTAAATGAAACACTGGAAAATATTTCAGACTTCAATGCTGCTTTTCTTTTTTGCTTTCTTTTTGAAGAATAGAGTTTCCTGTAGGACTGGAATTATACTGGAATGCAGAGACAAATTAATAGTTTATGTAATAAACAGAGGGGAGTATATCGGCACTTCTGGAGAAATTCAGTTGGCCAGGCACCAAAAGAAGGCTTCCTTTTCTGAACTAGCATTTTGAGTTCCCTTTTCTGAGATAGCTTTAAAATCTAACAATCCTGATAATATATTAAAATGTTTAATGTGTAATTTAATTCTTTCACCAGAGAGCAGGGTAAGAGCTGGGGATAGGAATGAGTTGGAAAATAACGAACCCTTAATAGTCTTAAAATCTCCTTATAGAAAAGGGCAATTTCATCTTTCCATCTACCAGGAGACATAATTGAGTATGTGCTTTTGCTGCTGTTGGGGAAAAGAAATTGATTACATGTTTTAAACAGAATTCTTGGATTTTCCTTTTGTGTCAGCAATGCCAGCTGAATAGTTAAAATAGTTGGTACTTACCTCCATTAACTAGGATGTTGTTTTCAACTAAATTGAAGGTGCAGCTGACCTTCACTGACATTAAGTGTACAACCTATTATCCTGAAATCCATCAACTGCCCACTAAACCAACAAGCAGAATCCTTGTATAATTAGTCTGAATCTAGTGGATTAAACTGCCATATTATGTTAGTTGATCATTTGCATTGCATCATCCACCTCACTTTGGTACTAAATGGCCAATGGAGTAGATGTGATCATAAGAGACAGAACTGGGAATTAAATTAACCTGCAGAGAATAGTTCTTGTGGCTTGGGCGAGGGGTGAGATTCAGTGCTGTGCCTCTAAAAACCTAGGGGGAAGGCTGTAAACAGGGCTTCAAGGCTCTGCACTCTCTTGGGATGCTCAAGGGGCTGTAGAGGTTCCTAGCATAATTAGCCCTCAGAGCCCAAGTTACAGCAGCCTCCCAGGGCTGCCTCATGAGCTTTAGCATTTCTGGAAATCTCCATACAACTACCTGCTATGGTCCCACATAGAAGTGAACATAAGAACATAAGTGTCCCTCCCCCCCACTATTTCTAAGTCCCCCCCCCCCATGATCCCCTTTATCATGGCTTACAAGAAGGCTTGTCAAGGGCAGTGTTTGCCTTTGTTCCTCAGTGCCTACATTAGGGAATCCCCTGGCAGCACCCTTGTTATACCACTCAGACACTTCTACCTGCTATAATGGGTCAGGTCAGGGGAAAAGATCTCACACCTACTAGGTGGTTTTGAACCGTACTGTGTGACCCATTGGCAATTGACTCAGGGACAAGTTCCAATGTTACTTAAACCAGGAGTAGTTTAATTGAAGACGGTGGAATTACACAGATGTAATACTTGTGTAAAATAGATCAGAATTAGGTCCCTAATCTCCTGATCTTTTCTGGTGTGAAATGGAAGTAATTCCTAGTGTAAGAGTGCTACGAGGCTAAACTGGTGTTTTGCAAAGCCCTCTGAGATTCTTGTGGAGGAGGCCATACATACTGCATTCTCTGGGGATTGGCAATGGGTAAATGAAAGTAAGTTATATGTGTGGAGGGAAGGGATCATGCGTGAACATGACTTAGAGACCATCAATTCCAGAACATGCAAGGATGGAGCCTGGTGAACTTACAGCTGCATGTGTTTCCTAGTCCTTACATCCTCTGACAAGGCAAATACCCAAACCTTTCCACTCTGAAAGGAGAACACTCATGAACCACAGTGTATTTCACACATTTTCTCCTCTCTCACTCTCCCACCGGAGAGGAATGAGTATGAAGCTCACCATTTGTCTGATGTAAAGCCAGATACACCTAGATTTTTGCAATATTGTCTCTGTCCATAGGGACTTTGCATAAGACATGATTTTGTCCTGTGAAAGTAGATTGGGAACGCAGGAGGACACAGAGGCAGTGCCTCCATGTGGCCTCCATATGGTCCAAAACAGCTGGGAGTGGAGTTTTTCTGTATTGTGGGAATGCATAAGTGGCTGCACTGGGAGTATGGGATTAGAAGAGGTTGTCAAAAAATGCTAGCTCCCCCCCCCCCACACACACTTTCCCATCCACATTTTTTAGTTGCTATAAAAAGAAAATGTCTTTTCAGTTTTCAAAACCAATCTAGGGTAAACATTCTTACTGAAAATGTGAGTTCTGGCATTTTGAATATAATAAATAAAACAAAACAATTGACCAGAAATGAAATTTTATATGGAAAACTTTTTGGTAAGCAATATTTTTTCAATCCCCCTCCAAAAAAGATGTTTCAGTGAAACTATTTCAGTCATTTTTCCTTATGAGCCACTATTTTCACTGTGGGTATGTCTACACTACCCCGCTAGTTCGAACTAGCGGGGTAATGTAGGCATACCGCACTTGCAAATGAAGCCCGGGATTTGAATTTCCCGGGCTTCATTTGCATAAGCGGGCCGCCGCCATTTTTAAAACCCCGCTGGTTCGAACCCCGTGCAGCGCGGCTACACGGGGCACGAACTAGGTAGTTCCACGAGGAGTAACGGTAGTTCGAACTAGGAAGCCTAGTTCGAACTACCTAGTTCGTGCCCCGTGTAGCCGCGCTGCACGGGGTTCGAACCAGCGGGGTTTTAAAAATGGCGGCGCCCCGCTTATGCAAATGAAGCCCGGGAAATTCAAATCCCGGGCTTCATTTGCAAGTGCGGTATGCCTACATTACCCTCCTAGTTCGAACTAGGAGGGTAGTGTAGACATACCCTGTTTTAGTAATGTATTTTTCATTCTAAATATACTTGAAAAAAATTAATATAGGTTCCTTTCTTATGTCCTGGACACCAGGTTAGGTTTTCCTTGTCTGTAAACTGTAAATAACTGACATTATTCCAAAATAACAGTGCATGTCTACACTACAAGCCTTTACTTTGAAATAGTGTTGAGATGGAGGACTTCTTACTACCATTCATGGTAACCCTCATTTCACAATGAGTAAGGAAAATCGAAGGAAGAACACTGTTCCTTCGACTTCCTGCTGTCTAGAGCCAAAAGCCAAATTAAGCTATTTTGACTTAAGCTATGCAATTGATGTAGCTGAAGTGTGTAGCTTAATTCAACTTTACCCTGCTGTGTAGACATGATGTTAGTTACCTTCCATTTATTTTCTTCTCTGAACTTCTGAAGATAGAACCCGGTCCTTCCAAAAGGACTAATTCACTAATGGGCAGCATGAAAAACCCTATCTAGGAATAAAAGAAGATTGAAGGACAAAAACTTTATATACATATTTTTAAAGTATCTGAAATCACTTAAATTCTGTTTTGCTTGAACTTTTTAAACCATGGGGACTTTGCAGTGCTAATAACATTATTTTACAGCTGGTATAGTTCCATATTTTCATAATGTAGATTGAACGTCTGTCAGGGATTGGGTCCTGCCATGAGGGCAGGGGACTGGACTTGATGACCTCTCAAGATCCCTTCTAGTTCTAGGATTCTATGATTCTATAAGTTGAAGGAAGAATGTTCTTCCTTCAACTTTCTGCTATGTAGAGAGTACCAAAAGCCGAATTAAGCTATTTCTACTTAAGCTATGCAGTTGACGTAGCTGAAGTTGGTATCTTAAAATTATGGGAGAGAGTAGAAAATTGGAAGGAAAAGGAAGTTGATCTCCAATCCTCACCCCTATGTGACTGGCACAGCTTTTAATCAGTTTCCTTTATTTATATATTTAAAACAGCTTTTCACAATTGCCAACAGCTTCAGGGAAAGATGACATCAATGATAATATTACCATATTCACCAGGATTTTGGATGGCCTACTGGATGGCTATGACAATAGACTGCGCCCAGGACTGGGAGGTACAATTTCTATTGCTATTGCATCAAGTGTCTCTATTGCGTAATTCCTACAGCAAAGTCTATATAACTTGAGAACCCTGTCAGTGGAACAAACCTCTTAAGTATAGTTGTTCTGTCTACCTAACCAAAAGGAAATAGAAAGAGCCTTTGTAAACAAATGTTTCATTGGGATGAGGGAAAAGATACTGTCTAGGCTCTCCTTAGAATCTGAACCCTTGCTGCTCACCTTGACTGTAGGGATCCACAGTATCTCTGAATCCAACTGTGGGCAATTAACCAATCCCCACTTAACAGAGTAACAGCCAAAGAAGGATGAATGGATGGGCTAGTCAATTTCTGGAAGGCTACATTTAGAAGGAAAACCAGGGATTCCTTTTCCTCTGAAACATTGCTGGAGTTATTGGGACTTCATACCTTTGTGCTGGCCTTGACTGTAGGGATCCACAGTATCTCTGAATCCAACTGTGGGCAATTAACCAATCCCCACTTAACAGAGTAACAGCCAAAGAAGGATGAATGGATGGGCTAGTCAATTTCTGGAAGGCTACATTTAGAAGGAAAACCAGGGATTCCTTTTCCTCTGAAACATTGCTGGAGTTATTGGGACTTCATACCTTTGTGCTGGCCTCAGCTGAAGCAAGCCACACAGACTATGCTTTATATTGCACTTTGGGTAATGGCAGCCTAGCTTGGTTATTTACATTTGGCTCTTAAAGCGGTATGATATTTTGCTATACATTTCAATAAAGCAAACCACAGAGGGGTTTCAGGTGAGTATAGGTGAGCAGAATCCTCTGTCGCTTAGAGTGGTCCATCACACTGATAACATTTCTAGTGCTACAAATTCAACTCTGGTACATCTCAGTGAAAGAATATGGCAGGTAAATATATACTGTGTGTAATGTACAGAATTATATTTAGCAAACAGCACAAACAACTTCCACAATAGATTATTTGTAATACTAATTTAGAATAACCCTGGTGGTTTATATTTTTCAGTAATAAAGACAGTCCACTGCTGATTGTTTCAGCATTTAGAAATCTCTAGTCAGGGCCCAGTCACAGCATAATGGACCTGATCCTCACTCAGGCAAATCTCTTTTACAAGTCCATGAAAGTCTCTCCTGAATAAGGATTGCATAGGAAGCTCCATTGTGAGACCATAACATTACCTATAAGAAATGGGGAAGCTCTTACACCAGTAATACTGTGGATCTTATCTGATGCCCTAGGCCTTAAATAATGTATTTATTTAGTTATTTGTGTATGTCCTAAGAAAATCCAGTCTCCAAAAGCACTCTGAAATCTTTACAGTCATTTTCATAGGATTCAAATCAGGTTTGGGTCAGGTTGACCTATGACAAATTCTTCTAGTCATCACTAAGAATTTGTGTAGTTGAATAGATTTTTCTTGTTCTTTTTGATAATATTGCCTTACAATGTGATGCCTGACTTCAGCTTTCCAAATATTTTAAGTTCCATAATTGAAAAATAACATGTACGAACCCGTCAGAACAAATCAAACATATTTTATGAAGTATGACTGACAAAAATCTCTAGAAGAGGTAAAAATTAAAAATATCCTTTTCTGTGATCAGCTAGATGTGACAAAATTGTATGTATACACCTACTCTGTAGCACCTATATCTGCTATTTTAAAATGTCAGTAATTAAAATTGCATCCATCATCCCTGCTATTTTGATCTTGACCAACCCCTCTACATATTTCTCCTTTGTCTTCTCCCCACCTTCTGCACAGGCTTACTCTCCCTATTTTGTTTTTTCAAATCTTTTTACAGCCTGATTTACACTCACTTTGCTGCTCTTCTCTTCATTCTGATCAAGGTGTTCTCCTAGCTGCTTTTTTTCTTTCAGACATTCATGCACACAGCCCATATTCCTGGAGCCCCAGCCCTCTCCCAGAGTTGGTCCACCATCTGTCCAAGTCCTTTCTTAAAAAATAGTATTTCCATAGCCCTCTCTGCAGAGAAGTATTAATAATCCCATGGCTGAAAGTGATAACCAAAAAACAAGGCAAAAAAGATAGATCCAAATGAAATTAAGGGAACTAACAGATCATGTTGTGTATTTCAGTGTTCTTACACAATGCTTACTATTTCAAAGAGTTCTTTCTTTCTTTGTGCAGGGAGTTATCTATGAATAGTTTACACTCTTTAGGATAAATACTAGGGGAGCTGATTCACTATTGCCCTGTGTCTAGTTTAGTCAGTTATATCAAACTGTGATGTGTATGTACAATGCTACCATTCTGATTTTGCATGGATGTAATTGATTTCTAAAGGGATAGAGGAATGCCTTTCAGGAATCAGGCCTTTCATGCATGTCTGTAGGGCAAAGTTACAGTCAACATTCATATATTTTGTATTTTAGAAGACTTTCCACACCTACTCTCACCACCATGCCACCACTGAAAAAATGGTACTTGGGCTCTTTGCTCATTTATGCTGGAAGGTCGGCGTAAGGTATGCAACTCCAGCTACATAGGTAATGTAGATGGAGTAGACATACCGTAAGATGAGCTTGGTGCTGTCTCCACAGTGGGAGGTCAATGTGCAAAAACGCTCCCATTAGCTTCCCGAACTCCTAGCAAATCAAGGAGTAGTGGAGCCAACCAGGGGTGCCCTCAGCATTTGATTTAGTGGGTCCTTACTAGACCAACTAAATTGAACGCCATAAAATTGATCTCTAGCACAGCAAGTGGAGACGTGGCCTTAAAGTATTAACAAAATTCCCTGCTCAAAAAACCATTAAGGCTGGGATAGTCAAAGGATCCAAAGAGTTAGGCACTCAAATCCCATTGAATTTCAAAGTTTTGGGCTTCTTAGAAAATGCTGGCCTAAAATAACAAATGTAGTTGTTAATACAAAAATGAATACCTACAGAGTGTCTGTTTGTTATAGCATTTACTGATTCAGGCTCTGTATCTCTTTATTGCAGAGAGAATAACTCAGGTGAAAACAGACATCTATGTTACCAGTTTTGGTCCAGTGTCAGACACAGAAATGGTAGGTTATAGCATATGGATCCTAAATCAGTACTATTTATGTTGTTAAAATAACTGTAAAAATGATTATTTTTTGAGACACATTATTAACATGACTGGTTCTTTATGCCAGGAATACACCATTGATGTATTTTTTCGACAAAGCTGGAAAGATGAAAGACTTCAATTCAAAGGACCGATGCAACGTCTCCCTCTTAACAACCTGCTTGCCAGCAAGATATGGACCCCAGATACTTTCTTCCATAATGGTAAAAAATCTATAGCTCACAACATGACAACACCAAACAAACTTCTACGCCTTGAAGATGATGGCACCCTACTCTATACCATGAGGTAAAGATTTTTCTGATTTCTTCTTATTTTTACTCCCTAGTAGCTTTACAATTGCTTTTTTGGAATATCATATTTTTCTCACAATAGAGTCAACTAAGTAGATTTTTTGCACATTTTTATGAGAATACCAAGAGAAAATGGAAAGCATAATCACTGCCTATAACTACTAATTAATTTGCAGCTTCTGAACAGAGCTAATGCTGAAATATTTCCTTCGGTGAAATGGAATGCATATTCTCAGTGGAATTGATGATTCAGTCCTACTGTTTTATGTAGACCTGTACTCTCTTATTATTTGTGTTTTCAACAGCTCTGCTGATGAGATTTGAGAGAACTGTCTTAACAATCAAAAAGTTAAATCTGTCTCTGGTATAGTACATCTTGAACTCTTAAAGCTTCTGTTTATTTCTAGTTCTAATTTAGCTAAAGGACAAGCCATCAGTGGAATAAAAGCCTTGCAGGTGGCAGATACAGCATTACAAAGCTATTAAATTAATTCCATTTTAAGACAAAGCTGGTACATTTTTTTAGTCTGAGAATCAGATCTGTGTGTGAACTTTTCCAGACCTTGCTTCTTATCTGATCTGATGGTATTATGAAGCCTTATCAATTCTTAACCTAGATATTATATCAGAGATTATATCAGTAATATCAGCATAACCTACTTTATTTGAAATTCTCCTAATACAACTCCTACATTACTGAAGCCTGCTTTGTTTGTTATAAGTAATTCATCTGCAGTAATTAAGACTGCTTTGTGTCTGTAACAGGGCTTTCATTGAAAGTGTAGTCATACGAACAGCACTTAAGAAGCGATTTAAAAAAATATAGAGAAGAAAGTGTTTATTCTAAGCTCATCACATACGAGTATCTGCCATGAACAGCACTTAAGAAACGATTTAAAAAATATAGAGAAGAAAGTGTTTATCCTAAGCTCATCACATACGAGTATCTGCCAGATTTAAGCAATGCCTAAAAATCTCTAATGCCTAACTTTTTGAAAAGAACAGAAAAATGTAGAAATGACCAGGAATTAAAAGAAAGAAGAAATAAAAGTCTTTGTACTGTAATAAAGGTATTTAAAACAAACCAGCACAACTAAATAACCAATCCCATACAGTTTCAGAGGGGTAGTCATGTTAATGTGTAAGTGGAAAAACGTAAAAAACAACAAATAGTCTTACAGCACCTCAGAGACTAACAAACCATGTAGATGGTATCATGAGCTTTTGTGGGTACAACCCACTTTTTCAGATGAATGAAGTTATTAAAGATCCAGTTTCCAGATAAATAGCGGATGGGGGAGGGGAGTTAAAAAAGGAAAAGGAAGGGGAAAAAAGGAAAAGAGTAGTTAATTAGAGTGTCTATGCTACATGAAACTGAGAGGCTACATCTAGATTACAAGCCTCTTTCGAAAGAGGTTTTTTCGAAATAATCTTTTGAAAAAGCCTCTTTCAAAAGAGAGCATCTAGATTACAGCCAGTACTTTTGAAAAAGCGAGCTGCTTTTTTGAAAGAGAGCACCCAGGCAGTCTGGATACTCTCTTTCAAAAAAGTACAGTTTACATTCAATAACTCCTTTTTTTGAAAGAACACTTTTGAAAAAAGGTATTATTCTTCATAAAATGAGGTTTTGTGCGACCAAAAAAACTTCCATGTTCTTTCAATTTATTTTTGAAAGGATGTGGTGGCAGGGGAAGTTTTTTCGAAAAAAGGCCACTTTTTTCGAAAAAACCCTATAGTCTAGACATACCCATAGAGAAGGTACTAAGTGTTCTTAACTTCATTTACAAGTTTGATTCCTTCAACAGAGGTATGAAAAAAGATTTTGGGTGGATGGCTCCCTACATTCCACATCATAATGACATAAAAACCAAACTATAGGTACTTAAGAATACTTAGTACCTTCTCTATCAGCTTCATGTAGTGCTTATTCTTTTCCCTTTTTTTCCCTCTTTCTTTTCCCTTCTTTTTCCTTCTCTCCTCCCACCCCCATCTGCTATTTATTTAGAAACTGGACCTTTAAAAACTCCATTAATCTGAAGTGGGTTGTGCCAATGAAAGCTCATGATACCATCAACATGCTTTGTTAGTCTTTTTTTTATGTTTCAGGGGAAGAGGGAAAAAAGGAGCAGAAATAAATTTTACTGTTTATAACATAATAGGGATTGGAATCCATCTCTTTTTAAACAGCCTACATTTGACTTGATGACAATTTAAAAATTTAAAATAAAGCTTTTTTGTCATCCTATTGTAAATGCCATCCTACTGAATCCTAGGCCAGGAGAGTGTGCGTATAATTTATAATCAGATCAAGATGTCTCTGAGGCACTGTGCTACATTAAGAGAGTCAGCTCTTCCACAACGGGCATTTTTGAGATACATTTCAGTGTCAGAAATAATATGTAGTAACTAATCCCTACAGAAATGGCTAATAGCGTAAAATGTCACATTTGAAAAGAGTGACAAGAAGAAAGCACAATGTGTGTCAGTAGGTAAAGTTACACCCCTCCCAGAGTTCTCAACCCATTGTAGGCAATGACAAAGAAATCAGTCTCCGGGGGAGTAGAGCATCTTCCATTTGTAAACACCAAAGGGTATGAACTTCCCATGGGAAATTTGAACTTTACTAACAAAGTGCTAGAAATGCAACTATGTCCATGTTATCCTGGAAAGCACCACCCGGATACTCTAGAAGAGCCTGCTTTGGGAGGGGAGGAGAGGGGAGAGAACTCACTGACTGAATGCTCTTAGTTGTCGCTTACCACTCCACACTGAAACCCATAGGAGGTACCATCAAACCATTAAAACCCACATTTGATGGGGACCACATGCTTAAAGAAACTTTACTGAACCCCTTCTTCTGGACTTCAAACAACCCTTCGGTATCCCAAAGCTCAAAATCAGAAGTGCTCCCCACAGACAGGCACACACCAACACAAAGCACCACCAGATCCTGCTAGAACAATTGGTGTAGAACCTGTAAATATATCTACATTGCTAAGATGATCAGTATCCCCACAACACACCTTTCAAGATTCATGAGTCATACACATGCCTTTTACAACAAATGGTGTGCCTCATCTCCCATACCCTAATTACATCTATGTGGACAATACAAGACAATCACTTCAATCTTGAATGAACTCATGCAAAAAAAAAAAAAAAAAAAAAAAGAAGATAAATGACAAAAACACCCTATTAAATGTGAGTGAACACTTTTTCACAAAGTCTCAGAAGGGCAGCCATGTTAGACTGTATCTGCAAAAACAATGAGGAGTCCCGTGGCATTGAAAGCTTATGTCCTAATACATCTGTTAGGGACACGTCTAGACTACATTCCTCTTTCGAAAGAGGAATGTAAATGAAGCAAAATGAAAGTGCAAATGAAGCACGGATTGAAATATCCTATGCTTCATTTGCATATTCACGTCCGAGCGCTTTTTCAAAAAAGGGTTTTTCAAAAATGAAAGTGCAGTCTGGATGGGGTTCTTTCGAAAAAAAACCCAAAACCTTTTTCGAGAAAACTCCTCAGGAGTATGGGTTCTTTTGAAAAAGGTTTTTTTTTTCCCAAAAAACCCTGTCTAGACTGCACTTTTACTTTACATCATTGACTTTTCACAAGGCGATCACTCTATATCCAAGCTCTCCAGTCATTATGCTCAAAGGGCACCGGCAGAATTTCTGCAATCCTGGGAGCTTAGAATCATAGAATCATAGAGTTGGAAGAGACCTTAGAAGGCCATCAAGTCTAGCCCCCCACCCAAGGCTGGACCAATCCCAATTAAATCAACCCAGCCAGGGCTTTGTCAAGCCGGGACTTAAACACCTGGGCTACGTCTACACTGGCCCCTTTTCCGAAAGGGGCATGCTAATTTTACAGGTCGTAATAGGGAAATCCGTGGGAGATTTAAATATCCCCCGCAGCATTTAAATAAAAATGTCCGCCGCTTTTTTCCGGCTTTTAGAAAAGCCGGAAAAGAGCGTCTACACTGGCCCCGATCCTCCGGAAAAGGGCTTTAGAGATCCTCCGGAAAAGGGCTTTTTTCCGGAGGATCGGGGCCAGTGTAGACGTTCTTTTCCGGCTTTTCTAAAAGCCGGAAAAAAGCAGCGGACATTTTTATTTAAATGCCGCGGGGGATATTTAAATCCCCTGCGGATTTCCCTATTACGACCTGTAAAATTAGCATGCCCCTTTCAGAAAAGGGGCCAGTGTAGACGTACCCCTGTAGGGATGGAGACTCTACTGCTTCCCTAGGTAACTCATTCCAGTGCTTCACTATCCTCCTAGTGAAATAGTTTTTCCTAATATCCAACCTGGACCTCTCCCACTGCAACTTGAGACCATTGTTCCTTGTTCTGCCATCCATCACTACTGAGAACAGTCTTTCTCCAGCCTCTTTGAAACCTCCCTTCAGGAAGTTTAAAGCTGCTATCAAATCCCCCCTCACTCTTCTCTACTGCAGACTGAATAGACCCAACTCCCTCAGCATCTCCTTGTAGGTCAGATGCTTCAGCCCCCTAATCATTTTGGCTGCCCTCCGCTGAACCCTCTCCAATGCATCCACATCTTTCCTAAAATTGGGGGCCCAGAACTGGACACAGTACTCCAGATGTGGCCACACCAGAGCTGAGTAAAGAGAAATAATCACATCTCTGGATCGACTGGCAATCCTCCTCTTAATGCAACCTAGTATGCTATTAGCCTTATTGGCTTCAAGGGCACACAGTTTACTCATGTCCAGCTTCTCATCCACTGTCACCCCCAGGTCCTTTTCTGTAGAACTGCTTCTTAGCCAGTTGGTCCCCAGCCTGTAACAATGCTTGGGATTCTTCCATCCCAAGTGCAGGACTCTATACTTGTCCTGTTAAACCTCATCAGATTTCTTGTTGCCCAATCCTCCAATTTGTCTAAGTCACTCTGGACTCTATCCCTTCCCTCCAGTGTGTCTACCTCTCCCTCTAGCTTAGTGTCATATGCAAACTTGCTGAGGGTGCAAT